CGTATGACGGACGACAAACGGAGATCGTCAGACGAACCAACAGACTGGGAAAGTCAGGCAGACGGAGTCCGTCAGACGGACCGACAGACGGGCACCGTCAGGCAGACGGCAACCGTCTGACGGACCGACAGACGGGAACCGTTAGACGGACCGACAGACGGGGACCGTCAGACGGACCGACAGACGGGCACCGTCAGGCAGACGGCAACCGTCTGACGGACCGACAGACGGGAACCGTTAGACGGACCGACAGACGGGGACCGTCAGACGGACCGACAGACGGGCACCGTCAGGCAGACGGCAACCGTCTGACGGACCGACAGACGGGAACCGTTAGACGGACCGACAGACGGGGACCGTCAGACGGACCGACAGACGGGCACCGTCAGGCAGACGGCAACCGTCTGACGGACCGACAGACGGGAACCGTTAGACGGACCGACAGACGGGGACCGTCAGACGGACCGACAGACGGGCACCGTCAGGCAGACGGCAACCGTCTGACGGACCGACAGACGGGAACCGTTAGACGGACCGACAGACGGGGACCGTCAGACGGACCGACAGACGGGCACCGTCAGGCAGACGGCAACCGTCTGACGGACCGACAGACGGGAACCGTTAGACGGACCGACAGACGGGGACCGTCAGACGGACCGACAGACGGGCACCGTCAGGCAGACGGCAACCGTCTGACGGACCGACAGACGGGAACCGTTAGACGGACCGACAGACGGGGACCGTCAGACGGACCGACAGACGGGCACAGTCAGACAGACAGACAGACGGGGACCGTCTGACACATGGCGACCGTATGACGGACCGACAGACGGGCACCGTCAAGCAGACAGCAACCGTCTGACGGACCGACAGACGGAGTCCGTCAGACGGACCGACAGACGGGCACCGTCAGGCAGACGGCGACCGTCAGACGGACCGACAGACGGGCACCGTCAGGCAGACGGCGACCGTCAGACGGACCGACAGACGGGCACCGTCAGGCAGACGGCGACCGTCAGACGGACCGACAGACGGGCACCGTCAGGCAGACGGCGACCGTCAGACGGACCGACAGACGGGCACCGTCAGGCAGACGGCGACCGTCAGACGGACCGACAGACGGGCACCGTCAGGCAGACGGCGACCGTCAGACGGACCGACAGACGGGCACCGTCAGGCAGACGGCGACCGTCAGACGGACCGACAGACGGGCACCGTCAGGCAGACGGCGACCGTCAGACGGACCGACAGACGGGCACCGTCAGGCAGACGGCGACCGTCAGACGGACCGACAGACGGGCACCGTCAGGCAGACGGCGACCGTCAGACGGACCGACAGACGGGCACCGTCAGGCAGACGGCGACCGTCAGACGGACCGACAGACGGGCACCGTCAGGCAGACGGCGACCGTCAGACGGACCGACAGACGGGCACCGTCAGGCAGACGGCGACCGTCAGACGGACCGACAGACGGGCACCGTCAGGCAGACGGCGACCGTCAGACGGACCGACAGACGGGCACCGTCAGGCAGACGGCGACCGTCAGACGGACCGACAGACGGGCACCGTCAGGCAGACGGCGACCGTCAGACGGACCGACAGACGGGCACCGTCAGGCAGACGGCGACCGTCAGACGGACCGACAGACGGGCACCGTCAGGCAGACGGCGACCGTCAGACGGACCGACAGACGGGCACCGTCAGGCAGACGGCGACCGTCAGACGGACCGACAGACGGGCACCGTCAGGCAGACGGCGACCGTCAGACGGACCGACAGACGGGCACCGTCAGGCAGACGGCGACCGTCAGACGGACCGACAGACGGGCACCGTCAGGCAGACGGCGACCGTCAGACGGACCGACAGACGGGCACCGTCAGGCAGACGGCGACCGTCAGACGGACCGACAGACGGGCACCGTCAGGCAGACGGCGACCGTCAGACGGACCGACAGACGGGCACCGTCAGGCAGACGGCGACCGTCAGACGGACCGACAGACGGGCACCGTCAGGCAGACGGCGACCGTCAGACGGACCGACAGACGGGGACCGTCAGACAGACGGGGACCGTCAGATAAACGGGGACCGTCAGGCGGACCGACAGACGGGGACCGTCAGGCAGACCGCGACCGTCTGACGGACCGACAGACGGGCACCGTCAGACGGACCGCCAGACGGGCTCCGTTAGGCAGACGGCAACCGTCTCACGGACCGACAGACGGGGAACGGCAGATAAACGGGGACCGTCTGACGGACCAACAGACGGGGACCGTTAGACGGACCGACAGACGGGCACAGTCAGACAGACAGACATACGGGGACCTTTTGACACATGGCGAACGTATGACGGACGACAAACGGAGACCGTTAGACGGACCGACAGATGGGC